GGGGGGGGGGGGCGCGCGGGGAATTTAAGTGAAAGTTGAAATCCTGAAAAAAGGGACTAGGAGGGGAAGAGCGAGGAGCAGTGCGCAACGGGCGACAACTGATCGCAGGCGTCGTCGAAGGATTCGATACCGTCTTAAAATTAATACAATCTAAATGTGATAATATATTTGCTATTAAAATACATCATAATGACTATTACGATAACACGATCGAGATTACAAATGGAAAAATCGAGCAATTTTAGAATCCGTGTCTATTGCGTAAGGATAACGATGACGATACAAAAGCGAAGAAAAAGGAGAAAAAGAGAAAAATTAAAAAAAAATCAAGCCAAACTTCGAAAGCGGGGCGGTCGATCGCGCCTCCATTGGTCGAGACATCGAGGCTCGTGGATTCGCAATAAGGTTCAGGCAGCTACGTGAAATGTAAAAAATGAGAAAAGGAAAAAAAGAGAACATTCCGTTAACGAAAGGAAAACGAATTTGAAAAATTTAAGGAAAAAAATGAAAAATAAAAATCCGTCGGATCGCCCCGTAGAAGAAGAAATCGTTTGCCATTAGTATCCCCGTAGTGAAAATTGGACTTGTCCGATTCGCTTGAAGATGCGCCGTGCGTTTGTATACATATGCATACGTGTGGGAATGCGTATGGGAATGTTTACGAAGGACATTATGTATCCAAGTAAGTGTCCGTATGCGTGAACGTGCGTGTGAGATTCCAATTCCCTTATTCCCAATTAATTCTTGCGATGGCATCTCGTAGCGCATCCGCAAGCGGAATGCAAAACCCATAGGCTCGTTGATACGTTCTTCCGATTATCCACGATTATCTCTGTGTCCCGGTTACCTAATATAACGACAGATCCCGATCGGAGTTCGTCGATAAAGCGTCAATATCGCATGTGCAGACGATACACGTATACACGGCGAGCCGTCGCGGCTCCGTGACGATCGCGTCGAAGAAAAAAAAAAAAACTTGTCGTCGCCATTGTGATTTAGGGTTATTTCTGCCGCGTCGTTTCTCAAATAGGCAGCTGCGATTACGTCTCCTAGAAGATTCCAGTATCGAAAATGACATTTCCCGAGAAGCAAATATTGCAGGTGGGCCTAAAGATTCGTTAATATGTAACTTGAATCGCAGCTGGCATGTAATGGGAACTATGCGGAGAACGTTTACCTGTTTGTATAGCCAAAGCCACTATTTGACTTTGGTACGATAAAGTCGTAATAAAGATTTCATTAAAATATTCCAAAATCTAATCCTGTTCCTGCGAAGAAAAATTAGCTCGCGAAAAAAACCTTGGGTATCGCTCGCTCATTTATTTTTGTCTTTCTCCTCTTCCATCGATCCTGGATCAAAGCGCAGGATCACTTGGGTTACAGACCTCACGCGAATCCTAAAAATGCTAAGAACGTTTTTCGTACAGAAAATATTGTACATTGGACTTCCTATTGGACATTATTATGACTCATTGCGGTATTGCATTTGCAAGTAATTGAAAGAAATTATACGTTTTTCCGGTGTCCTCAAATATAACAAGCGTATTAGCTGCAAGTTTCATCCGTATCTTATGTCAAAGATTTATATCATTTTGATCCCGTATCAGCATTATTTTCATAACCCACTGACATTATTCTTATAAAAAAGAAGCCCTTATTATCATTGTCGTATCATATGTGCAATTAGTCCCGATCAGCCATAATACATATGTATGACCACGTCTGATTTGCCGGAAGGCAGGACGTCGCAAAGTTTCATGAACGCAAAATGATAGCGTCAGGAGTCAGCCCCAAAATTTGATGAGGCGATCGATAAAAATGATAGACACTGTCCTCCATTAGCCTTTGTCGTCGGTGCGCAGTTATTTGCTTCTCAAGTATATCGTAACACGACCTCGCAACGTTGTAGCTCATCTGTGCCCAGCACACAGTACATTCTCCGAACGAATATGCACCGGGTGACTTCGAATCAAAGAACTTTTCGATTTACGAATACCGATCGGTATTTTCACGAAGGAATTTCAGAGGCATACAAAATTGCGAGTATTTATAGTGGCAAAATAGCGCTTGACTAGCCTTAAAAATCCTTCGTTGATAGTCGCCTGCCACGTGTTCTCCATTATCAGAGCGGGAAACTGATAAATACTTGCGGTCGATTAGTAAGCGTCGAGGACATCTACCGGCTGGTGGTTCTCCGCTCTCATAGAGAGAAACTGATAAACACTCCTGGTAGATAAGTAAGTCGACCGAGTATGGGCTGACTATGCGCACTCATTGTCAGCCTCACCTCGCCGAGTTTCGCGGTGGGGTTCTGAAACAGCCGTTTTCGAACTGGCAGCCACTCGTTTCTGCTGATGCTACATGACCGTCTTGGCTGGCTGCTGAAACTCAGTAACAGGTCCAATCTCTGGTTACAACGTTCCAGAGTGGCAGCACGTATAGTAGTCAGGATCACTCCGGCAAAGGCAAAAGCAAGGAACGATCGTAGCTGCAGCTCCCATAGAGCAGCCTACGAGCGACGCACTCGGCGTCGGGTAGCGTTGGGTTTACCTAAGCGGATACGCAGCAAAAGCGCCTGGAGTGGGGCGACGGCAGCGACAGTCGCTGCAAGAAACGTGTCGCTCGTAGCGGCAGCAGTGAGAACGAAGCGCAACGCAACGCAGTCGAGCGACAGTCGAGTGGGCGAGTGTGGAAGACGGTGACGGCGATACGCGAGACTACGTTCAGCGTTCAGCGTTCAGAGGATCACTATCCCTCACTCACTCACCCACTCACTCACATTCACACGCTCCTAATTTTCTATTCTTTCTTCCATAAATATTTTAACTCGTTCGCGCTTTGTCTGACCTGCGTGCACTACGTATGTGCACATATACATTGACCAAGGCACTCTTTACCCGGTAGCACAAAGCCTGCGAGATTATATTATCATCATCGACACATCAGCGTATTCCTATGTCTGTTGTAAGCACGAGTGAACCGTGATTGCTTTTCGTGAAACCTCAAGCTACAAGAATAAACTGGTGCTATCGGTAAAGTAAATCGCAGTGCGACAGATCGATCTATCGAGAGTGCATCGACTTGTTTTTTTCAACTTGGAGCCATCAGGTTTTTTCCTTAGAACGAGCAAAAGTGATGTGACATGCGCAACAGGTCGTGGCTAGTTGATCCTTTCGTGATTGAAAAGTGCATTACCCCTTATCGAGTTTTATCAGTGGCAGTCTTATTGATTGTTCAGATACTTATTTGAACTTACCAGCATTCGAATCGTTCTGAGATGCATGAGAGACTCGAAAGTTGTCCGAATCTCGGCGGCTTTCTGTTTACAACGCAACTAGTGGTCGTGACTTTTGCCGAGCACGTCATCGAACAGCTGAGTTGATTCGTTAATTAAGTTCGGCCGGCTGAGCTGTCGCGAGCAACGATCAACGAGCAACCAGCAGCGAGCAACGAGTAACGAGTAACGAGCGAACGACCGAACGGGAAAGCTGGCTGCGTGAATTCGACATAGCCGAATGGTGACTCACGAAGCATACGGACACCTATAAACTGTAGGCGACTCATAAACAGACAAGCACTCCCGCGGTGCTCACTCATTCGGTCAATTTCATTGAGGCCTTCTGCAATAAAAATAACGTACGAATTCGAATAAGTAGTGGTTCGTCAAAATAGTTTGGTGTGTTTATCCGTTCAATCGAGTGCGTGACACGAATAACTATGCTTTTGTGAATTAATGGAAACAGTGAAGCTGTACTGAAAAGGAAGAGAAATATGCGGAAGGAAATGGATTCTGGTGTTATCGAGAGGCATGACAGGATATGACTTGGTATTCTTCTAAAGGGAAGTTAATAATTTTTAAAAAATATGGAAGGTAAGCCCGTGCCAAAGCCCAGATCTCTGAAGAGCGACCGACCGATTCCAGCACCCAGGAATATTCAGGCTCCTTCGCTTCCTCCGGTATCTCCGTCAGTCAGTCCAAGCGAATCCAGTCACTTGGAAATGAACGAGGATACGAGATCCAGCGAAACGAGAGGCACTCCTGAGTTCTTCAGGGGTCTGAGCAACAGCGGCAGGAACTTCAAGGATGAGATCTCGGAGAAGATGACGGTGAAGGGAAAGGCTGTGATATCCAGTACGAGAAACGCGAGTATTCGGCTCGAGAAATCCGTTAAAAATTTACTCACCAGAAGAATGACCTCCTTGAACAGCGAGGACATTCGGGACTCGCCCGATGGGAAGAGCAAAGAGCCGACGCAGGAGGACCGATGTGTCTCGATGCCTGCCGACGACATCTTTAGCAGTATATCCTTTTACAGTCCACTGCAGAGCAACTTGAGGAGCATGAAGAACGAAGAGAATTTATCGGAGGCTCGTTACAGTCCACCACCTCCCATCTACCCTCCACCTCCACTTCCGGATGAGTCGATCTACGATGAGTTACAGTCCGTGACGTCGGGTCACAGCAGCCGATACGACACGCTCAGCTCGACGGTTTCCGAACACGCGGAAATGGAATTGCCGGATTCGTTTAATCTTCTGAATTTCGCTCAGAATCAGGGCAGCGATTCGGATCAGAGTTTGAATCTGTCGGACGTGAGTGTAACGGTTAATGAAAAATCTGAGGCTCCGAAGAGGCTCTCCAGGTCCGACTCCTGGACATTCTACGACATGGTCCCGGAAAAAGTTGAGAGGCTGGATAAGAACGAGGAACTTGACGTAATATCGAGCGCCGACGAGAGCGAGAAGGAAGCATCGATAAAGCAAAGAATCTCTACCATCTCCAACGTGACTCAATTCTCCATCCAGAATTCCCTATATGAGAATTGGATGCTCAGGAAGCCGATCGCGTCTTCTCCGTCGGACAAGCCGAACAGCGAAGATCGAACCTGTAGCAAATCGTTACTCTTCGAGTTTGATCCTTTTGCGAGAAACGACGAGAACATTTACAGCAATTATGAAAATAATGACCTGATGCTCCTGGAGTCTCTTTTAGCAACAAGCGACTCTCCCAGCAGCACGGGAAGCATGGCGGATCTTTGCGAGGAGGAGGAAGCACCGGAAGAGACCGAGGAGGACATCAAGGTAGAGTTTGGCGAGATCAGTGTGACGCCTCCCGAACTGCCAAAGAGATTTGACTCTTTACCGAAGAACGAATACGACGAGGTAGAGATGGTGGAGGTACAGGACAAGTCCTCCTCCAAGATTCCAGCCGTACTTCCGAAACTGGTTCATCTGTCAAAGAAGAAGCAGCCTGCGATTCCGCCAAGAAAACCGTCTATCAAGATACACGTGGATGAGAAGGATAAGACGGAAGGTTCAAATGTCAATACAAATGCCTCAAACAAGCCGAACGAGGAGAGTCGCAGTTCCGTGATGCAAAAGTTGAAGAAATTCCGACAGGACTCGACGGCTAATGTCAAACCGATGTCAAGCAACATGATGAACTTCATGAAGAGCAGAAAAATCCTGTCGAGGAACAAGGAAGGCGAAGTGGGAACGAAGTGCTCCCCGAGGCTGGAAAGGCCGAAGTTCATGGGTCAGAGTCTGGCGACGCAAAGATGGGTCGTCTACAAGCAAGGAACGGGGATCGAAAGGGCGAAGGACCTGGTGCTAAGGGCGGCCTACCTTGCCGACAACAAGTTGTCCTTTTACGTCGACAAGAAGATGACCACCCTGAAGGAGGTGATTCAGCTTGAACTGGTGCACAGTGTGCATCTGCTGCAAGACGTTAAGTAAGTTAATTGGCATCGATCGAGAGAAGTTGTTTTATCGAGCATAGAAAACAATCAAGGAATTATCAAAGGTCAACGAAGGTCAGGATCAGTAGCTCGTGACGTCTTCAGGAGTCTGGCTGAAACGTGAGGACTTCCGTTAGTTGAATAAAAAAAATGAGAAAAGAGACTAGCTACAGATCGAACATAATTTCCGTTGTCCTTTATTGAACCTTTTTAATCGGTAGCAAAATTCCAGAGCATGGATAAATCGATCAAAATCACATTTCTTGGTCATACGAATAATTTATTTGCCCTTGCTTTTTGTTCCTCGAAATTCCTTTGATTTCTCACTGTTTTTCTTTCCGCGACACCAATGGAATTTCTTTCCACCCAATGACTCCATGTGAATTCCCTAATGCTTTACTTGGCATGTCTTTAGAACTGTAGACGGAGAAACGGTCCATTGCGTAGCAATCAATGGCGAAGGTCGACCAGGCGTCCACATAATCTACTTGAAGGGCATCACGGAGAGGAGGATATTTGCCCAAAAAGTCCTGGAGGCACTGACTCCCGTCTTTCCTGCGAAGTACACGACTGAACTTACGATGGCCGGATGGGCCTACCTCAAGGTACAGTGGGACCCCGGAGGATCAGTGATAAATAAGAAATATTTGAAAGACCTAAGGGCGACTCAGCCTACGCACTTCCGGTGCAATCTGGGAGAAGCATAATGCGTTAATAGTCCATTGGCATAAGAATCGTGAAGTCTTCAGCGGAAAGCGCAGGAGCGTCGAAACTCGAGACGCATTATCTGTGAAGTAACAAGACGGCACGAGGCGTAGAGTTACAGATTCAGCTTTCCTCGGAATAAATGATCGCGTGCAAAAAAAGGAATACGAGTATCTCTAGTTCTTTATAAATCTGCATAATCTGCATAATCCCGGACCCACGCATTTCCTCTCTCGAAAGTTCTGAAAATTCATCTGTCACAGGAAGGTGTTACGGGGAGCTGGTTTCCTGCTTGGCTCCTTCTGCAACAACGGACGCTAATCCACACTCGATCGATGGACCCAGTAGTTTTCGAGCAGCTCGATCTTCGAAAAGCACGTTACATAGGTAAGAAAGGCTCTTCTACGCCATTCGTAAAATAATTTCTTTGGAGAGAGACTGCTTTGCGGTTCAGCGATTCAGGCGAACGTCCTGCTTCCTGAGAATGCGCTCTGCTTCGGAGTGGCAACGGGTTCGGGTGATAATCGCTAAGTCAAACGAACAGAGTTGTCCGAGTAACAGCGGGCTGTTGGAACGAGCAGAAATCCTCGTGGAAAAACATTCGTCACGGCCGAAGGCCCCGTTTAGACTTCCGTTATCCCGTCCCCCAATTACATTGCTTTCGTTCTGACAATCCCGACTCGATGTTTCAGCTGACAGTATATCGTTCTCAACGCCAAATCAGCCGCGCTGCCCGAGTTCATGCCTGAAGTCATTCGTAGCTACGTTCCTGGGAGAGTCTATCAAAATCTAGAGTACAATACAATTTCATTTGTTACTATGGATCAGATAGTATCTCCGATAAGTCGTCCTCGTAATCGCCATTGATGTTGCGCGGTCGTTCGATTATTACTTTGTTATATATATGTATATATGCATATATATGCATATATATGAAGAGCAGGACGTGAATCACGTTGAATGAATTTGAGCGGCAAACGATAAGCCATTCGCGTGTCTTTCGCAACAAGGCGAGAGGCCATCGGGATTCGGTCTTCTAAAAGAGTCACGAAGTCACGATCATCCTTACCGCATAATTTATGGCGATGCTCCTTGAACGCAGGTCTTCGGGAACAAGAAGGCCCCAATTCTTCTGGAACAAACGTCCCGGTGGTGGTGGTCGACGCAGGAGGCAGAGGAGCTCTCCACATAGCCACTCCAGGGCTGCGAGAAGGTCCTGCCTGGAGGCACGCGTTGTATCAAGCAGCCACCAACAACGGTCCAGCCCTGGAACAACAGCAGCTCACCAAGGACAACGTTCCCGTCGTCCTGGACAAATGCATCAACTTCATTTATGCCCACGGTGAGTGACCTCGCGACATTACAGGTCGCAAAGAGTACAAAGAACGCAAGATGAATCTTACTGGAAGGAAGAAAAAAAAGAGGTAAAACTGTGATTCACGTGGGAATGGAGTAATTCACAGAAGAGAATTCTTCTTAGATCTGTTAGAGTGAGATCATGCCGGCGGGCATTTCCAGGAAAATTGACCGCTAATGTTTCTTTCCTAGTGTATTCATTCTTTTTCTGTTTTAGGAATCATGTCCGAGGGCATCTACAGACGCAGCGGGTCCAGCAGCGCCGTGGTCCGACTTCTCGAAGAATTCCGACGCAATGCCTGGGCCACGCAAATAACCAGATCCGAGTACTCGGAGCACGACGTCGCCACGGTGCTCAGGAGATTCCTACGGGATCTGCCGGATCCTCTCTTTCCTGCAAATATTCACGAGCAGCTGTGCCGTCTGACAGGTAAAGGGCGACGGTCTCCGTCCGTTATTCTCGAGCGGCCATTGTTCGACACTCGTCGTGCCTGACCTGCTGGGCAATCTTCCAAACTCACTTATACCAGAAAACCAATATCGGCATCGTTACTGATCCTAATTATCCGAATCTAACTAAATGTTAGGCATACCTGTGCAGCCGTAATCTTTGTTGCAACTGTACCAATGGTTTCCACGTAGCGATAACGTTGCTTTACAATTAGCTACACCGTCAAAATATGACCTGTGTTATTGAGCCAATCCTAACTTCCAATGAAATCGGAGTCGAGTAATGCATTTAATGCTCTTAATGCATTCGTCAAGTGCTCAGGCAAAGAAGTTCGCTTGTACATCCCTTCGGTAGAAAGTAAAAAGTCCTCAGACTACGATTGACCGTCGCTACTCGAGGAACGAACAACGTCGAAGAGGTCGGACGGATTTTATATGACGCCAGCTCGCAGTAAAAGCTTTTCAAATGCGTCCATATCTGTACATTAGGAACTTTAACATCAAAGCAATTTTTTTGTAGTTGCGGATACAAGTACCCTGCTTGGAAAATACGCGCATCTGTTGCTCTTCGAGAAAACTCGAGAGTCTCGCTTTCATAGAACTCGTGAGAATATTCATTAGCGATTGCAAAGGAAGGTTGATTACTTCGCGAAGAGTTATAAATAGAATGAACGGATGATTATCAAGCTGAAGTACGTTCATTTACGTAAACGGTATTACTCAATGTTCGTAAGCTCCCACGGTTTTGGAAGCTCGAGAGCCAACCGAAGCGCTCTATGGAAATGTGCGTTTAACTTTAGTACGCATAAAGACTTAAAGAGACACGCGAAGACCTTTCCCGGCGAAACGAGAGAACGCATTGGCGTATTCCTATTTGCCTCAGTCGCTGGATAAGGAATGCAATGAGGATTCCCAACTCGTGTTTGCCTCGGCAGCCGGTAAAGCGCGCAACTGGCCGGCCAGTTGCAGCTGGCTGCAAAGTCCATCAACGTATAAGGAATTCGTGAAGGAGATCGTTCCAGGCTACGACGCAGTGAGCGTGCGAAAGGAAATAAGAGCAGAGTGTATATTGACTTGTTTTCATGAGACACCCTCCATCGTCCCTATAATAGATTTAATAACTTAATAAGGGAACGTTGAACTCGAGGGACCGATGCCGACGAAACTCCCATAACTTTACTGCGCGCTCTCTTCGGCTGACGTTTGCCGTCTCCCAGTGAACTTGCCAAGTGCCGCGCTGTGAACTCTTGTTTCTCCGTATTAAACCTGACGACGCTGACCCGCATGTCGCAGTGACCCGATCGTCGCCATGCGAATGCACAGCAATGAGACCCAGTTCAGTTGGGCTCGAATGGTCTTCTTGCTACAAGTTTGTGTCTCTTGTTGTTTTAGATGTAAACAATGAGGAGAGCAGAGTGAGCAGCTACAGGAAGCTCCTGATTGGCTTGAATCCTGTTACCTCGGCGACCCTTCGAAGAATCCTCGCGCATCTTCACTGTCTCAGTCAGCAAAACTCCAGGAACCTGATGACCGTCGACAATGTCGCAGCCGTCTGGGGACCAACGTTGATGCACGCCGGGGAGAATAATCCCGAGGAGTGGAACAGGTCGGAAACGAAAGTCGTGGCCGATCTCATTCGTCTTTATCCGAAGTTGTATCAGTTGTCTCCCGCGGATTTGGCCAAGGAAGCTAAAATCCTCGAAGTCCTCGAGAGGCATCACGTATCGAACAACAGACCCCGAGGTGCTCCTTCCGGTGACCTGAAGATCTGGATCTACATCATGGCCAGGGACGGCGAATGTGTCAATGTCACGGTGAGCAGCGTTTTCTTGGCGCCCCTTATCCCTCGCAACCCCGTCAATGTCTTAAATCCTCACTGACTTCCCATCCAGATCGGACCGCAAAAGACAGCATTCGACGTTTGCTGCGAACTGGCGAAGAAGACGAAATTTGCGCCACACGAGTTGTGCCTTGAAGAATCCGCACTGAGCGGCGCACTCGAGAGGCCGTTGCATCACAGCGAGAGAATTTTGGAAACTGTTGCACGGTGGGGATACTGGAACACAGCGGATAGAAAGGACAACGCACTCGTCCTTCAAAAGGACAGGATCTACAAGGATATTGTGCCATTGGTAAGTCCGGCTGGGAATCTGCAGCAGGTTTCACTCTTTTATGTCGCTGCCAGCATCCAGCTGGTTCACGAGATGGTAGTGGTAAATGCAGCGAAAGAGGACAAAGGCAATGGAAATAGGTAGAGTGCTCGAGGTTACCAGGGCAATGATAAACTTTCCAGTCTGCTCTCGGGTTGATGGACTCACGGTTTCTACTGGAGCATACTGGTGCAGTTTGCGTGAGTCAGAAGGAAAGAAATGTTCTGTACATTCGAAACAGGATGGAGCTTAATTGGACTTGACCGCGTGTGATCCGACCATATTGTTGTTTATACGGGGACTGAGTAATGTGAATATACATATAAATATATACATATATAGAGAGAGAGATATCGCTGGCCTTCGTTTCAGCTTCAGTTGAAATAACAGTTTTATCTCGTAAGAATAATAAAGCGAAAAAGACGTATCGACTTGCTGCTAACGTGTAGCCCTTACTTCTGTTTCTTCAGGTTAAACCGCCAATGACCATTTCCGGTGAATTAAAATTCGCTGATACAAAATCCAAGCATTTCAAGAGTTACCTCTTTGAGTTTAGCCAGGCGAAGCTCTGCTGCTACAAAGACAAAGTTTGTTGTACGAAATTGCACGAGTGGAGGATAGAGGACATCGTGTGGTACTTGGGACACGAGCCAAAACGCAATCCGCAGATGGGGTAAATATAGACTAGCTTTTCAGGCATAACTTGGAAAAGCGTATTTACTGATTTTTTATTAGCCCGGCAGTTGATTCTATAATTTTATTGAATATTTCAGATGGTGCATTACGTTCATTATAAAGAGCAACAAACCAAGCAGGTAAAAACAATTTAAGAACATTTGTATGACATATTCCAGACTATAGTAAAAAATGTAGGCGTTATCAAGTATCTCTCTACGGCAGAAGCAAAATCTTTTCAGATGCAAAGATAATCCATTTTTTGGATACACTTTGGCTGGAGCGTGCAAGGACGAAGAGTATAGATGGTTGGCAGCCATGCTGTTTGGCGAGCACCAGCTTAATCTCCGACCTTCGCCTGTCAATCTTATGGATCCCTAACTCCTTCGTAAATGGACTCAGTTTCTGAAAAACAATTTCAGAGCATGAAAGGAATCACTGGGGGCTTCCAGCGCTTGCTTTAGAATACAGAAACCGTAGATTTCTCAACCAAAATTATTCACGATTGTACACAATTTTGCAACTATCGGATCAGCCTAAACTTGCCTTTTGGAAAGAGACGTATTGTATTGGTAGTTTTTAATTTTTATCTATAAACGAGTCCGTCCGAAAATGGACGATCAAAGATACGGCAATTAAGTTGTCCAAATTGTGTATGGAGGTAATCATGTCTAACTGCGCTTTCGCGCGATCAAAGAGATTGCTCGTTAATTAGTTATAGATGAAATTTCTACGGATTTTCTTTATTGCCAGGAGAGACTGTGAAATCAACAGGTATTTTAAAAATCCTTTCGGTGTCACAGTGCATTAGCCAAAAATTAATTTTCACAAGATTGAGCATCATGATTCTTAGGATGTCTCGAGGCATCGCGAAGAAAAAGAGTGACTGCGCCAGCATTATAAATATCTTTATTCTCCTTCACAAGGTGCGCACGTATGCAGACACGACTCGTCTGACCACTATCTATATATAGATATGTATCCGCGGGAAATCTTATTTTCTATATTTGTAAAAATTACACACGTATGCCTTACGAATGAACATTGTTATCTTCATCCGTGACAGGTCACTTCCCTCACGGTGAATAAAAATCACAAACACATCAAGCCTGTTAACCTGTCATTATTCGTGCGATTCCATTTCGATCCAGTTGCGAAAATAGCAATTGAACTCCATATATATTCGTTACACATATAGCAGTCCTCTTGTCGCCAAAGATTGTCTCTAAGTACGTTGGAAAACTGTCACGCGTCTAGTCTGTGTACAAAATCCCACCCTGAGTACGTCATACGAAACAAGCATCCCTGTTCAGTTTCTCCTAGTTTTTTTTCAGCCTTCGTTAACGCCCAATATTTTCACATTGTATTAATTCATATAAGTAATTCACAGACAAACTTACGGCACGGAATTATCCCCCTTATCACTAGCTTATCTTTTGGTCCATTATTACTTAAATCTATTCCTTACTAACGGATGGTGTAGCAATGTGTAAGTACCTTGCGCCAGACGTTTGCAATTTGGTCGAGTGCACTGAGTAATTGTTGTCCGAATAAAAATTATCTCAGGCACGAATGCAGACGTCCATTATCTCTATGAATACTGTAGCTACAGTGTCATTCGTCGCAGAAAGAACGAGTCTGGCCAGAGTCTAGTTACTAGGCTTCACAGCTTCCCGACTTCCTGACTTTGGTACAGCCGGGTCGACCTTCGCGTCTCGCTACGTCTTTGACTCACTGAAAATTGTCAAACTCGAGTACCACACAGTTTCCTCTAGATGGCGACACGATCTGCCCCCGTCATCGCCCGTTCAAGTTCGGATTATAAATCGGCCTCGACAGAATACTGTTTCCGCTATTCGGATTGGTCCGCACTTGCATGTACTTTGGTCTCTTCTCCCGTGTGCTCCAGTGAAGGTAACAGTACCAACCAGCAACAATGGCTCCCAAGCCGTTGCAGGTCGATGAAAAAATCAAGAGGATCGTCAGTATGTTCTCAACGTCCGGACAGTTGAGATCCTCGTAGCGAAGAAGCGATTGGGAAGGATTTGAGAAATCCCCACGTGGTCTGCAGACGCAGGTTGCGTTCAGTACGCGAGGTGGCGTGCACTCGAGCCCCGTTAAACGTGCCAGATGCATCGCAGATGCGACGCACGCTATTATGCAAGCTGCACTTGCGAGAGTCGACAGGAAGACACTTACTACCTGTAAGCAAAGGAGGTTTTACACGATAGAAGCCAGTATCTTTGTTCGCCCGATTGGTTGCACAAACTTCAGCAGAATTAACGGAACAATTACCTTGGTTGCCGAGAGACAGAATCCTGGACTCATTCCCGGATATTCCTTCTTGAAGCAGCATAACAGGCAGACACCAAAACTCCCGGAGAGCAGGAGCTGTTTTTAAAGGAAACGTTCCTCAATCAACGGCCGCGCTTGTTCGCCTCGCACTGCGGCGCTTATGCGCTCGAGATCCTTTGAGGCCTCTCGGGTTCCTTCCTCCCGGGAAGAGAGGAACGAGAAGAAGAGGAAGAAAAGGAAAACTCGATACTCACGGGCATTCCACTCCAGTAGGGATTGTCTGTCAGCGGTAAATTCGGCGACCAGAGCAGCAGCCACAACGACAGCGAAGTCACAGCAATTCCCAGGACCGTCTGCATCACGGCCAAGCATCTCGCTAGCTTCCGATGCCGAAGCAGCGGCGGCTGAGATTTCCGCGGAACTGCAAAATAAGTGAAGATCCTCTTTCACTCGCTCTTATCAGACATTTCATCAGGTTCCTCAAAATGCTTTCGAGTCCAAGAGAAACGGGTCTGCGTTTCTATTGGCGACGATCGGATCGGCCTCGCTGTCCCTCCCTATAAGGTAGCCGGTAGGTGGATCTAGCCGATCCCGATCCGCTCGCTCGTCCTTCCCGCCACTGTCCACCTCACTGTCCCGAGACTTGGCTCCGCGAACGCGCCGATCGATTATCAACGTTAATCCAGAGATCGTGATTATGTGCAAAAACTAGCTCGTTTCTTCCTGCGAGAAAAGTAATTCCGCGTTAACGACGAGGCGAATGGAACAGTGGAACAGTGGAACAGTGGAACAGTGGAGTAGCACCCTCTTGGATTTTCTCTTTTAGCAAGAATATACCATAAATCCGCAGAACCCATCATAATGAGAAAGCCCGAGTGCGCCGCGCCTCTTTAATTTGAGCGATCGCTCCAACCCCTAGGATACTGCGGCCAATTACCGAGCCATTGTTGGGGGCTCTCCAGACCATAATGGACGGTGGAAATAATCCTCCCTGGATTTTCCCCGAGTGAAACCGAGGAAAGCCATTTAATTCCAGGTCCACTCTATCGCGCTACGAATTACGAGGGCTGCATCTTAAAAGACTGCAGAGCTCGGGTCGCCGACCGGCGAGTTCACAATGCACGACTAGAACGACTGGGACTCCACGTGCCTTTTCCTCCTACCTGCGTCACGCGACGCTTTCTTTCGCTCGACAAAGCTGCCTGTGCCGAGCAGTGCCGAGCAGTGCCGAGCAGGCTGCGCCACTGACAATGATCGGCCTGCGTTCCCTTCTGTCCCTTCCGGAAGGCTGCGCTGCCCCCCGCAAGAACAGCCAGAACGGCCTACAGCCGTGTGACAAGAGGACGAGAGTGGTGCGTCTTTATCACGATGACCCCGATACATGCTAATCGCAGATTGTGCGCGCCTCTCGCGTCCTATTCCCGAACTAAGGCCGACAATTAGCTAAGCGCATTCTTCCCAATCGCGCCACATGTTGCCGCATTCACCTTTCGCGTCTGCCCGTCCTACGAAATAAAGCCCCGGGTTAAGCCGTCGGAATCTCAAGGACTTTAGTGAAACCAGGGAGGGAGGAGCAAAGTGCCCGCCAATTACCTCCTACATTCTACCTTACGTAACCGCGGATTTATAGGCTCGAGGGTAGAATCCACGCATGGAGATTGATTCGCACGATACGTTCGCCTGCATGGAGACGCCTCGACACACGTGCTGCTCACGTGCCACTTAAAAGGGGCGCTAAGTGCCAAAACTGGCCAATAACTCGACCGGAACGCGTTGTTCATCCGAATCTGCCCTTTCGAGTATCTATCGATTTTTGGAGGAATTCAGAAAAAGTAAAAAAAAAATGAAAAGCGCCAGAGTACTGGGTGGTTCGGTAAAGGGTGGCAAAGGGGGTAAAGGGTAAAAAAGAGAAAGGAAGGGTGGAGCCGTGCGAGGGAGTGTGCGTTCATGCGTGCCAGCAGGTTGTTTCGTTACATTCGTTTCCGTTCCGGAAACGACTCGCTCGAGTTCTGTCCTCTAAAAATATATGATCGCTGACTCGTCTGCGCTCGAAGCTAAAGTTAGAATTTCATTACTGCGCCAACTAGAAGAATTGAATGTGCTCAGACAAGGCGAGAGGATCGCGTAACGCCGTCCGCTTCCTGCTCGACTCACTCCGCTTCCTGTCTCCACACAATTGGTGCAGGACCTTTTTCTTTTTTTTTCTTTCTTTTTTTTCAATCCTTCGCGTAACCTACGATCTGAACACAATAATTCTCGTAGCTGAGTCCTCTTCGGCGTTTTCGTCGGTATTTTCAATAATCTCGAAGAGATCCGATCTCGACCTGGTCGTCTGAAATAATAGCCGGGAGAATGGGCGAAATGAAAGGTCCAGCACCTCTGGCTCTGCCAGGCCGCATTCCTCGGCAAGGCACAATTATCGTCGCCACCAACGAGGGTGGTCGACTCGGAGCAGACCGAGTTTTGCACCTGTCACTCGCGTATCTCATGAACAATTAACAATCCGTGAAAATAGCCTTCTGAGGCAATTTCACGGGAATCGATGGGAGCGCCGACCTAGGTTCATTCTCAGGCACGCAGGGAAGTTAATTAATCACCGTAGGACTTCCGATCGATCGGTTTGCCGATGGACCGTCACTTTTATCGTGGTCGATATTTCGAGTAGAAATTGTCGAAATTCGAAGAGAAAGGAAAAAAAAGAAAACTCGCATCCGCGATCGCCTCAAGACTTGGAAGGTCTCATCGCAGATCGGTCCAAATGACTCGAACGCCCTTGTCAAGGAGAATCTAGTTCACGGAGCCCGAGAAGATCCTCTTTGATTTTTTTCGAGAGAAGCCAAACGACCACAAAATGAGAAAACGAGTCGTCAAAGTTCCCGTTTACTGTAATTTAGTCTGTCGTCGAAACGTAAACCTGCTCGTTCGGTAAAGGTCCATTCACGCGAAACGTTCGAGTTCGAGACGAGCGACCTCGGTGTCTTGCGTCACTTTTATGACGGCAGAATTTATGAAATCTTTAAGAATCCATTAAAATTCTCTTTTAATTATTAAACTATTTATTTTGCGCGGGAGCTTACTATACGCGTATGCCATTCTTTTATCTATTAGTTCAAAATTAGCCGATAACGTCACGGGCGACCGTAGCTCTGTTTAGTTTCAGATTAGAAACTCAATGTTATATGTTACGTGTGTATTCATATACTCCGTGTCCCAGCTACCAGACACGTGTGTAGTTTTCATTTCGACTTTTGCCATTGTCACCCAGTCAACGGACCATGGAGAACTGGAGCCTTACACCGAGCACCAAAGCACTAAGCCATTGCCGAGTCGCTCGCGAAGCAGCATTCGAAATCTAACCAGGTAGCAGCAATTGACTTGCACGAGGAAACGAGGAAACGAGGAAACGAGGAAACGGCAACTGTGGTGGCCACGAGGCACGAAGCGGGAAATCCCCGATTAAGTCGACCCTATTCCTCCATTGTTTAAGGGAACCAGGTTTCGAAGAGGCAGGGACCGCTGTTGCACAGTCGGTGCAATAAACACGACGGAGCCAAGTGGAAAATCGCTCCAAGGGTTATTAGAAAATAAAGGTATTGGCAGGGACGACCCCCTCAAGGAACGTCGGTTCCTCATCCTGCCAATGAGTCACTTTCTTGCAGGAGAATTCCAGCCCCCTCCTTCCAATACTTTGGCCATCGGCAAAGCAGAAAACCAGCCCCGACTCCTTTTCGGATTCGCAACAGCCCACGTGTTCGCCAGAAGTAACGTCAACGTCAAAAGGTTTACTCACTATTTCCAGTCCTGTTCATGACGATCATTCGACTGTGCCTCAAGGAATTCCTGGTCGGCGTGTGTCGGCCGGCAATCTGCGAGGCCGCCAAGTTAACAGGTACAGTCGTCGAGAGGCAATTCGCCATCGACGGTGCTCGGCCCAGTTCCTTCTCCTTCTCCGGGCGGAACATTTTCCCAATGTTTCCGGTGGAGACTGCTCCTGCTCGAGAATCCAACTCATTAAGGTCTAATCGGTCGGCAGGAAGTGCAGAGCAGGCGCCTCTCCTTTCTCTTTACCATCCAATCGGATAGAGAGACTCTTTTCTTGCAGCGACGAACCGAAATGACAGGCACGTCAGGCGACCAACTGCCAAGTCACTTCGATCGACGTAACCTGTCTCTCTCTCTCTCTCTCTCTCTCTCTCTCTCTCTCTCTCTCTCGAGGCTCGATCGGCTCTTAGCTGTCGCAAACTCCGAGGCTTCGTTGGAAAGTTTTTGAACGAAGCGCTGAACATTAGAACGAATCCTACCTGTGACTCTTACGTGGTGAATCCTGGCGACGTTTCCTGCGCTGACGGCGCTGCTCACTCTGTTCCCCGGTGCCGTTGCTGACGACGCGCCGTTCTCGCGGACTTCACTCAGATTCCCGACGCTCATCGCAGTCGTGACGCAGGGCGGCATCGCTGGCACGTCCTGCCAAGAGACGAGGAGACCTTAAGAAACGTGTGCTTACTGGCCGACGATCGCTGTCGAAGTTTGCTGTCGAAGCGTATCGACTTCCGTTCTTCTTGAAAGTTAATGGACGAGCTCGTGTTTCGTTATTTATTTGAAAACGATTGCTCGTTTACCGATTCACGGAAAATCTCAGCTCGACGATGAGGATCGCACAAAGTTTTCCTCTTTCCCGCGCCTCTCCGCCCACTGAATCAATTCCTTTTCCTTGAAGGACGGCGACTGTGCAGAGTCGGAATCGCACGTGGCGTCACTCGACACTCACCTTGAAGTTGTCGTAGAAGCTGACGGGGCGGCTTCTTGGCGCGCACTGACCCTCCTCGTGGGGATCCATCGGGTAGGCACCCCTCGGTGTCAGTGTGCCGACATCGTGCGCGCGCACCTCCTCCGGCATCGTTTTCGCTTCCTTCCTACTTCCGCTTTTCTATTTTTAGCGAAAGCTCGAGCAGACGATGAGACGAACCCCGCGCTACGTTCACTCGAGGTTCACCTATTATTACGAGCGACCATCAATGAACTCTGGTAGGATTCCACGGGCGGATGCGTAATGGTAATTTGGCGAGGAGCCGATCGCCTCGTTAATATTTATAAGTACTAACTGGTCGCATTGTACATTTTTCTAAGTGAATTCATAACACACAGTTCAAACGCTATCGCGACTTCTCACCCGCTCGAAAGTTTGAAATCTCGCGTGACCCTTCACCCCTCTCGCTCCCCAACCCTGACAAGGTCCCACTTATTTTTCGACAAAAATTCTTCAAACTTTCAGCCCCTCCGTGCCCAGCAAACCTTGACCTTCGTGCTGATCGTTAGACTCCCGGAACGTATACACCTGCCTGCTGCCCGAGGCGGAGCCGATCGAGGCGCGATCTGCCGATGAGTCACCCGAGGAATCCCAGAGTAGACGGAGGAACCGCCGGATGATCGATGCCAACAATTTACACGCACTTTTCTCAATAACGTTGCTGGTAATTTTTCCGGCTGGCCATACGTCACGTAAGGTCACGTGACGTCACGTCACGCACCCCGTGCACCGAGGGGATGGAAAAGCCGGAAAAGCCGGCTGCTGTACGGAGGCGCGTGCCCCGTTGCCCTGTGCACGCACTCAGGTCCACGTGCTCCGACACGTGTTTCTGCTACTCCGATTGCAATCCGTCAGCCCGTAGATGTCTGAAATGTCTGAAAAATGAAGAAAAATTGGCTGAAACACTGGTAACACTATACGCACTGGTTGTCCGGTTGTCCCGTGCGAATCGCTCGGGAAATTCCAAGAGCGGATAACAAAGAGGGACACACCGCAGGCGATTAGTCGGTTCAATTGTCCCCATGAGGATGAACGACGTTACGCGAGAGAACGGGAGTGAGGACTTTGGGAGACCCAAGCGGAATTTGAGGCGCTGCCAGTGCGGCGCATTGTGGACGGTGCTTTAGAGCGCTAATGAAGTAATGACTTATTGCCAGTGAGCGGTAAGCTGTAACCTGAACGGAGGAACAAGCGTTGCTTCGGGAACGCAACGTTGTGCAGTCGTGCAGCGATGACGCGACGCACGTCAGCGTCTTCGTTAGTCGTTACGTCATTGGCCTGCGGAGGCGGCGTTGCAATTTTACGAAACTAAAAGCAATCCTAGAGTCTCCTTCTGCGTGGAAATAAAAGGTGCGTAGATCGGAAAGCGATAGACCTCCAGGTTGCGGGAGTCCAGGAATGCGCCTGGGCGTCCCGTGCGTCGGCGTCGCGACGTAATCCCTCCTCGCGAGTGGGCCATTGTGAAATCACTTTAAATCGGCCTCAATTGATTGCCCCAATTATTACGAAATCTCGTAGAAACTCCGAGGGACTTCCTGGATGGAGAAATAGTGAAGGCGGACAGTCACGTGACAGCAGGTTACCCGTAAAACGGTAACACAGGCTCTCCGTTCGGAGAGGCCTGCGACCAGGAGAGACTTCGGATGCCGACTGTGGCAAAGGGACTTTGGGACGACACGTACTGCATCTATTTACGTGATACTAGTTACTGGTCTATAGCTAGAATAATCCTGAGAAAGTTAGTATTACCAGGAAAAGAGGTGCACGCGAGACAAGGCGGCTGCGTAGGCGCTACTTCGAATTCCTGACTTCCTGCTTCTTCTTCGCTTTCGTCGAGTCCCTTCCCGCCCCTTCCGGCCCGTTACAAATTCTTTCTACATAAATTCGATCCGATCGTCACGGCAGCGGATCGATCGCTGGACACGGAATCGCGATGTTTGAAAGTATCGTAATTGCAACGGGACACTCGGCTGGCTCGTCTCGTCGGCTCGCCGGGAAACGTCAGACTATCGGGGAAAGGCAAATGCACGTGCATTCACGACGTAATCAAATTGTTTAATTAAAACGATTTGCACTACTTTACATCCATCGATCGCGCCCGCACACGCGCATCCGCGATATTGAAACTCGACGCGCCGGATTGATCGGCGACGAGCGTGTCGCCTTGGGACATTCCTACGCGCGTCCTTGTACAAATTCAGCGGCAATTACTTGTTGCATTCAGGATTCCTCTTGCTCCGGGTTTCTCGCTGAAGACAAGCTTAGAGAATTGTATGGGCATCCGTGTAAAAAGACACAACTTCTTCTTTTCACGTTCACGACGATTTCGAAAATAGAAGTAACGCAGCGCGCGAGTGCCTCCTCGACGGAGTCGCCGGAGTCGCAATGACAACTGAACCTGCGCGCCGCGCGTTCCAACGTTGCCTAAGAGCCCCACCAAAGTGTTCTCCAAAGCACCAAACCCGATCTACGATCCACGATCCACGATCCACGATCCACGAAGCCAGGGAGCCTCAAACCGGGGCTTCTCACAGGTGGATGACAGAAGCGCGTCTGGCGCTCGGCCCGTCCCCCCTCCTGCTCGATATTTCCGTCCCGCTGCCGTCGCTAAATTCTGCCGATTATATTCTCAATCTGGGCTCTCTAAATAACTGAAATGTCCAACTCAAATTATCCACCCTTCTTTGGGTTATTCTTTTTTTTTTTTCTTTCAACGAAATTCATCTAAATTCCAATACGATGACTGACGAATAAAATGATTTTACGTGGAATAATTCTCATTGATGGTGAAACGGAAGATTGGAAATGCGGGTAGGAAGATTTTCGAAATTGAGAGCCCCTGCCGCTTACTTTCACATCGCGTAGCGATTCAGAACGAGTGACTGAGGAAGGAAGGAAGGGGTGTGTGTTGTGTGTATGTGCACGCGCGATGATAGATGCGACGGTGGCGGCGAAGGGGAAGGGAAGGGAAGGGAAGGGAAGGGGGGGAGTTTGGTCATGCCCACTGGTCGGTGTCTACCTTGAGGGGTCCCTTGCCGTTCTACCTTCTTTCTTTGACTGGCTTTTTTATGAATTCTCTTAACAGTCACGTGGAGTCCCAGTCGGCCAGGTTAGAACGTTCATTCAGCAGCAGAGTCCTTCGATTGCTGACTTTAATCCCATAATCCCACTCCGACGCCTCCCATTCTCATTGATCCTTGCCCACCTTTGTCCGTCCTCTTTAATTCCGTCATTCATTTATTCACTAGAGTTTTTCCCGCTTTCGCCAAGATTCCCCGTGAAATTGCTCCGCTCTCCCGAGGAGTTGCATCGTTGAACTTGTCGCCTCGATCGGACCTCGTGCCTACAGCGATGCCATTTGAACTTGTCGCGATCGTTCATCAGTAACCAAAACTAGTTCCGGTATCTCCGAAACTGGTCATTGCTCTTTACTGGAATAATTAAATTCCTTATCTCGGGTGGCCGAGCTGTAGAACGCATGTCCATGCATTTTGATTCGTTGGGTTTTAAATGGAATCGTGGAAAAAAGATCTACCCTTCGGTTCCCCGAGTGAGATCACCCTTTAATGGCTCCTCGGGGCTGAGCTGGCACGGAGGAATTTACAGATAACTTCCTCCTCCCACCCTCAAATGTCCCCTGTTCATTCTACGGACCCCCCTCCCAGTTCCCATAATATCCAAGAGAGTTCTTAGCTCTTTGGGCAAGATATTTTAAGTTGCCAGACACGCAGGAGGGATCCACACCCTCGAGTAACTCATCCCTTACTAGAAAACCACAGCCGACGCGACGCTGGTACTGGTTAGAATAAAGTTAGAAGCAAAACATTCTGCTTTACTAAAAGCTAACTTCCCCATTGTCCTGAGAGAAAAATAAGGCACGATTACCAAGGTAATAGGCCGAGCAGCGTTCTGCTGATCGGAAAGAGAATATTCGTTTAAAAGGCTGCGACTTGTTTTCATTGGTAGCCCGTCTCCCACGAGCGCTCCACGCGGAACGAGACGGGCTTGTTTACTGATAAGTGCGTGGGAGAAACGGGACACCCGTTCCCATTGAATGACTGCGTGCCTCTGGCTCTACGCACACCATATCCAATAGCAGTTCCTGCGACGTGCCCTCCAAGCTCTTGCTTTTGATGCACCTCCTGTGGCTTAGTACTCTGTACTTGAAACGAGAAATGGCAGCACACTCTAACGTAGACACTAATCCCTGGAACGCTAACGAGAAGATACTCCCTAACTTTTCCGAGTGTGAATTTACTTAGAAAAATACGAGATCCGCCAAGAACCATACTAGAGCTAGGAGCGAGTTCTTAAATCACTTGGCACTTGGCGTGGCGAGGTTCTTCACGTCACTTATCCGCGTATTGCAAATTGCTCCAGGACTTTCGTAAAAGGCTTCATTAGTGATCTGCAATTTAAAATGCGTCTCCAAGAGGCAGAAATGCAATTGCGCTTCAAGGTGCGACGAGATGAATCGGATGTATCAGGCAAACGTAAAGTAGATTCATTACATCGATATATCAATTCCACGCGACGAACGACACTTGACGTTATTCGTCCGGCGATGTCAACTCTGAGGAAAACATTGTTTTCCTCTTGTCGTCAAGTAATTAACGTAAATTCTCGATCGACATGTCTTGGTTCTTGAGACGTCATGCAGCAAAAAAAGAATATAGATTTATACCGTGTTCAGTTTTATTGTCAATCGCCATTCACTCGTATTGCGTACTCTCCATTTTCCTGTTATTCTTTTATTTTTTTTCAAAACGATCAAAACAACGACACAAACTCATCCGATCAAACTTAAATAACCACGCTGACTCTGAGAGACCAAATAATAATATGGGCAAGAGAGACGCCTGGTGGAGGCAATCTAAACTCTTTAAGACGCTTCTTGCTTGTTCCTGCGCCCTTAGTACAAGTTCGCACGCATCTCCAGCAGGAGTCTGTAGTTTTGTGCGGCGAGCGGCAGTGAAGAATCGCAGGAAAGACGATCAAAATGTGTGGACGCACAGCCTGGTGAGTGGGCAGTTGTTAATTAACGTAATTGCGTGGTGTCCGGGCTCAACAAAGCGTGAACACGGCGCGAACGCACCACGCGAGAGTCACTACAAGACGCTTTACATTCTTATGCGTTGTATGTACATTCTACGTTTCTGACGTTTCTGTCGTCGTCAGTACATTAGACGCGGAGACGCTGAAATGCGTCTGCGGATACAAGGACGCCACAGGACGCTACCGAAAGGCCGAGTGGCAGAGTCGAGAAAATGCCGGCCGGGACTATCAGCTTTCGTACAACATCGCGCCAACAGATGTCATTGCTTGCGTTGTAGCCGGCGAGCACTTCGACACAGAACAAGAGAGGGTTCTCTATCCTATGATATGGGGAATGATACCACCTTATCACAAGGTGATTCTTGTCGACGTCTTATACAGACGATTTCGACGAAGTAATGTTCAGCCAAGCCACTTAACATATTCTCTTTTCAGGGTGATTATAGGAAGCACAATCTTTCCACCCATAACTGTCGCGTCGAGGGAATGCGGTCCTCAAAGTTGTATTCGACGCCTTTAAACAAGGGTTTCAGATGCGTTGTTGTATGCACTGGATATTTTGAGTGGGAAAAAACAAAAGAGCCGAAGCAACCATATTTTTTCCATGCCCCGCAACGAGAAGGCGTGAACCTTACAGAAATCCACAAGGACTCGAGCAAGTGGACCGAGAAAAATGGATGGGAAGGTGTACAACTTTTGAAATTAGCTGGGATTTTTAATGCCTGGAAGAGCGATGATGTACTTACAAGATATTTTTATTAGTACATACTGGTCAATAATACGCGTTCATGAGACATTTCAGACTGAAAGGGAAATTATTTGCAGGGACACATCATCTATAGCTGTACCATTATTACGATGGAAGCGAACAAAGTCGTCTCGTGGATGCACAAGCGTTGTCCTGCCATTCTTCAAACGGAGGATGATGTGTCCGTATGTAAATGCATGTTGCTTTCAAGTACTTTGGAACGTAATTAAACTTATTTTCCTTAGGCATGGTTGGACTTTAAAAGAGTGCCATTGAGCGATGCCGTTCAGCTTCTACGTGGCCCAACAGAGGACACTCTCAAATGGTATCCAGTTGGTACGGCGGTAAATAATTCACGATACAAAGACGAGGATTGCATTCAACCCATAAAACTAAAGTACGTTGAAAAATGCAGCCACGATCCGGGGGGCGGGGGGGGGG